TCAATGGCGGGTAACAAGTGATAGAGCCTCTATCATGGAGGGCGCAGTGTCAGGCAAGAGAGGTGGCCTCCTTCGGAGTATCATATTTAGAGACCCACGGGGGGAAGGCTATCGGTAACCGAATGGCGTCGCATAACCATGGCGCTGAGAACTGTGACGAGAGACGGCATCAGCTGGGTGCTATACGAAGGAACACGGAGAGCAAAAAGACGAGAAGGGCCTACTGCCGCGGTGTGAAGCCAGAAATCGGAGATGGCTTCGTTGACGGTGGTGGAGGCGCTAGAGCCCTTGTGGATCAAGTATTGCACCGTGGTATTATCAGTGAAGATCATAACAGCTCCAGAGTGGTACTGGGAGAAGGTGTGTAACGCAGAGGCGGATGCGATAAGTTCTAGTAAGTTGATGTGGATAAGATCGGTATGCTCGCGAAACTTGATTTTGGAAAAGCCAAAGTACGCGGGATGCATATTGTTCGCGGGGGTGAATGTGCCAATCCGACCGTACCCCGTGGCGTCGGCGTAGCAGCAAAGTGGCCTGTGATGCAGTGCGGTCTCGGCAGTCAAATTGCGGGGTGGCAGGTCGTCCATGCTGAATAGATGTAGCAGAGAGTCGACCGCTGAAGCGAGGAGGTTCGTGGGCGTTGGGATACCAAGACTCTTCCGGATGAGGACACGGGTGGGTCCTCGGTCCGACCCGGCCGAAGAAGGCGTCACAGGCGAAGGATACCCTACCGGCGAGTTCTGAAGTTACCAAAGCACCAGATTTCACGTCCAGGAGGTCGCAAATGAGCTTCGCGCGTCGGTCTTGAGTCAGAGAGACAATGCATTGCCCGTGTTCGAGATTCACGCGAAGATCGAGGAGGACGTTGTCGTGAGAAGGAGGGATATCCTTTTTGTGTTTAATGCGGGCCCCAGTGAGTAGTTCCATGACGAACTCGACCAAGGTCAAAGCTGAGGCGGATAGCTGGGGGACTTCGATGGGGAAAAAGTCGTCAAGGTAACTCAAGGCATTGACTAATCCCAGGGACCGAATAACATGACAGTGGAACTCTCCAGTCCGTAGGAAGCTGGTGACGCTACTTGTAGCTCCAAATGGGCATGAGCCAGGAATGGTAGCCTGTGGAAGGCCCATAGAGTTCAGGTAGATACCAATTGTGTAAGGGCGATGATCAGGGCAGATTTTGAGTTTGACGATAAGCATCTTCAAGGTCTGTACGTTAGAGATGTTTGGTACCGGAGCCCAATGCCTGGGCGACGAGAGCAATGTGAGAGAGCCGTGGCATAGAAACCTTATGATAAACTTCCGCGGTGTCGTTCAGTCGAACACCGTGCGAGCGGAATGCGTAGTTGGATATCAAACGGATCTTGTTGCTTTGATGAATAGCGAATATGGGAGAGCAGAAGGATGGAGCTTGAAGAGCAATGTCGGGCAATAGAGGGCCTAGTGCTCTCCCTAGCAAGGCTTCGTGGCGGACACCCTCTTCTACGGCATGGATGAGGTTGAGGTCGGAGGGTCTGGTACGGCGGAGGTAGTTGATAATGTGCTCCAAATCGTTAGGGGAGGTGGTTAAGTCCGAGACTGTCTTCGATGAAATCTTAGGATGGTCGGACATATTGAAAAGACCACCATCTGTGATGTAACCAACGACAGGGGATCCGTGAGTGAGATGTGAAAGTAGCTGGTAGTCGCGAAAGCGAGTGACCTTGATGAGCCAGTCGATACATTCGAGATTCCAGTGATTACCGTCGGGAAGGAGGCGTTGTCTGGCGAGACCCTGGTCACCCCAGAGGATTGAAAGAGCTTGATGATTGTGTTGCCGTATGAATCGGATAGAAGCGGTGACAGAGAGCTGTGTAACGCGAGGGAGCCACGAAGCATCGTGGGGAGAGTGAAAGAAGCCTCGGCAATATGAGTTATTGATGAAGACCAAGCTAAATGCTCGAGTGGCGTAACAGTAGCACCCGATAGCAGATTTAGCGACTGAAGATCACCGTGCAGCGGTTTACAGTACGGATAGCTGTAAGTAATCGAGTCTGGTTTGGTCGGGCGTAGGATGAAAAGGTCCTCACTGAAGACGAACTCAAGCAGTGAATGTCAATGATGTTGGCGCAGTGCCTGAGTGTCCTTCCGGATCAGGCGAGCCTGAAGGCTGCGCGACCCTCTACGCAGAGAGGTCATGTGAGTGGAAGAAAGTCCCTAGCAATACAGCGCTTGCAGAACGTCAGACTCTTATGGAGAAAAGCTAACTATACCGGGAACGAAGTCTATGTGCCAACAGGAAATAGGCGAGTAGAAAAAAAAAGGGGAATTGGGTCAAGAGGAGATTAGTGTAGGAAACGGTACGCATTTGAGTCTGTGAGACTAGCGGAGCGAGGTTGGTCTGGGGTCGGATCTGGCTCGTCTGACGAGCGTTGAGAACGGCCTTTCCCTTTCCCTTTCCCTTTTTTTGTGCCAAAACCAATGCCCTTGGACCGAAAAGGGGACGAGGGAGGTACAGGTGGTGGGAGGAATCCCGGGAAGCGGGCGAAGATCTCGATGAGCGGGAGACACCTAGGCAGAACAATGAACGATTGATCAGTAGCTGAACACGGATAACGCTAGTGTTACCTTGTGCCGGGAATGGCGAGGGAACGGTCGGGGATGCGCCCGTCCACTGTGGCAGCATAGGCTTCAACCAGAGTAGAATCTAGAAGGTAGCGGCATTTGCTAGTGCCGTCACGACCGAAGCCGGCGTCGGCCATGCGACCGAGGAAGGCAAGAGCAGCAGTCGGAGAAATAACGTTCGCTAAGGTCAAGCGACCCACCAGCCCGAGAGCTGCCATGAGGGCGGTCGATAGGGCACCGAGGCTAGCGGAGTCAGAGGGGTTTATGCCTTTCTTTTGACTGAATGCCTCCCATGCGCTGCCAGGCAGGCAGTAGGAAGACGTGCCAAGGTTGGTTTGAGAAGTTGCTCAAGGAAGGATGCTTGGGCAAACTTGCCACCAAGTGACCGGGTATGACGTCAGGAGGACCAGAAGAGGTGTGAGGTCCAGAGGGAACCAGGCTTGGGTCCAGTTTGGGGAGATCGAGATGCGGGGTTGTTGTTGAATCTATGAGGACCTGCTGCAGAAAGGCGTTGGTCTGGGAGTCCATATCTGAGCCGTTTTCCGGGTCACGTGGGAGATCGGGTGACGGACCCGATGTGGGCAACTGTGTTGAAGGGGAGCGATCTTGTGAGATGCGTCTGCGAGACCGACGCGAAGCCTTGCGAGCCAAGAGAGAGGCTGACGTCTTAGACGATTGGCTGAGAAGGACGGGCCCGTTTGCGCGGGGGAGGCATTCAGTCAAAAGGGGAAGAATGACTAAGGAGGCAAATCAGAGTCACTGGGGCGAGCAGCATAGCCGCATCGGCTCCCAGCAGGCGGCCACGGTTAGAAGAAAGATAGTCAAATGTTGGAATGTAAGCGCTATCAGAACTGAGGCGGAGATGATTGCCGAGGGGGTAAGCTCTGATTTGAAGAGGGGGGGCAGGATCCCTCGGGAGGGGGAAGTCCTTCCCCAGAGGGGAACAAGAAAGTGTAAGCTACGAGTAAAATCCGACCAAATACTCGCAAGGGACCCGGTGAGGGTCACCGCGGGGTGAGGAGCCCCATACAGCATGGCAATCCTAGCCACACTGAGAGCGAGAAGAAGCTCTTTTGAAACTTTTTATGGCTCGCTACGTTCATGCGTGCTCTGGTTGTGACCAAAAGCGCACGCCATTGTGTTTGATGAACTCGACGTAGTATTGCTCTAACGTCGTTAGTCTCAATTTTGTATTTAGTATATGAAGCTCATGAGCGGTGGCGAGGAGAATCTCATGAGATATGCACCATAGACCCAGTTTCATATGCCCTTTTCAGTAACTTCTCACCATCAATAGCTTTTTCGTGGGGACCCTGTAAGGCTAATTCGGACACGCTGAGCCACCCCAGCAACATTCAATGCCTTTATTCACTTTCTTCCCTTTCCGTTCCGATTCTTTCAGCATATGGCAACTACTGTTTCACACGTCTAGAATATCAATGTATTTAACATAGGTTCAATGCTATCATGGTAATGTCATTGCACCGCCTAGCTATCAACATCACTCCACACATGATTCGCTCCACATCGCTAGTGTAGAGCCTTGTCGTCTTTTCCCATATTGTTATTCTTCCATTCTTCCCCCTTTTTCATCCGTTCCTTTGCGGATCCTGCAGTGTAGTACCCGCACATACCAGGGATGGCTATGTGTCGATCCACACTCCAAGAGACTCCCTAAGTGTTTTTCACGCGCGCAATAGCGTCACGCGATGCCGATGCTACGTGCCCAATCGGTTTGCCAAGTCTTTCCGGCGCAATGACGGGTTATCACCCTATATCTTCCTATGTAGCCTCTCACTTCTTCCTTTTTGATGTCCAACTCACATAAACTATTTAAGACCCCATATTCAAGGGGCGGAGTGGTTGAGGTTTTACCAGTTATTCCCGGAGCGGCTGGCTCAGCTGGCAGCCAGCCGACGCTAGTCCTGTTAGGTTGTTATCGCACCATGTTGATTTCGTAAGATCACATTAGCGACTCTCGTTTTCGCTGGGTTTCCACTCATGTCGTCTCGCACCGGTATCATAGTGTGGATCACCTATTTTGCCAAAACTTCATTACATCCCTTGATGGCTTATGCGTGTTCCAGGGG